GGCGCAGACGCCGGCAGGGAAAGAAACGTGGGTGTCAGGAGCCCTGGCAGCACCCCTCCACCGTGACACCAAGCCTGGCAGCATCCCCGCAGGCTGCTCGGCACGGTGGGGGTTCCCGAGGGTCCCCCCCAACTTTTTCCCTTCCCACTTTGGGTGCTTACCTCCTCCGGGAAAGGGGCCAGGAGGGGGTAGAGGAGGGGTTGGTCGCAGGCTGGCATGTAGAGCTGGCAGTAGGAGCGGGCGGCCTCAGGGTCGGGCACGATGAGCAACTGCTGGACATCACCCTGCAGCAAAGGAGAAGCGGGGAGCAAAAAGAAGTGGGTTTTCTGCTCCCCCCATATCCATACCCCGGGCCGATCAGGTGCCCACACGCATCCTGGACACACATGCTGGTCCTCGTGGCCGGCCCTGTCCCTGCGGCAGCCGGCGGGTCTGTGGACAGCTTGGGGACACCCCCTTGGCTGGGTGGAGGGTGCAGGGGGGGCAAGGAGACAAAGAGACCCTTGTCTGCCTGCTGGGGACAAAATGGGCCGGGGGCGGGGGGCAGCCCCACTCGCCTCAATGCCGCCTCTTTGCCTGTGGCCCCTGACATTTACAGCGGGCAGGCATGCAGGGAGGGGAAGCAGGTCACCCCACAGGGACGGGGACACCCCATGGGGACAGAGAACAGCCCCCAGTGCCTCTACCGACCATGGTAAGTGGGTCCCCCGCCTTCCCCAGACCCCTCACTACCAGCGCTGTGGGACACCGGGGGGGCTCTGGCGCAAGGATTTACGGGGGGGACCCACCTCGAACACCTCCTCATCCAGGAGACGGGCCCCAAAAATCGTCACCCCTTCGGTGCTAACGAGGGGCTGAGGTCCCTGCTCCAGCGGCAGCGTGGCGAGGAGGTGACAATCCACCAGCAAGGAGACGTTGGTGCCCTCCACGGCCAATGCCACGCGGTGCCACCTGCGGAGATGAGACTCGGTCGCAGCAAGAGTGGTTGGGGGGACCCCCCCATTTTGTGTGGGTGTGTGTCCCCCACTGTCCCCGGCCACTCCCCTGCCATCGGCCAGGTTGACCCTGCGGAAAACGGGGTACTGCTCGGGGGCCGGCCGCCCCTCCTGGTCCTCGTAGAGGAAGACGGGTGAGAGTCCGATCTCCACGCCCAGCTGCTGCACGCCTCGCTCGTCGTAGATGGAGAGCAGGAAAGCTTGTCCTCCGCGCCGGGCACGCACCGTGGCCAGGATGGAGAAATCCTCGGGGAAGGAGCCATCTGCAACAGGGGTGGGAAACGGGGGCAGCCATCAGGCTAAGCACCCCCCCAGTGCACCCCGAGAGGTGGCTCTGCACCCGGAAAAAGGGATGTTTGCCCTCGGAGCGACTCGGTTTGCACCTCGAGATGAGCTCAGCGGCCCCCGCAGCAGCCCGGTGCCGTACCGGGGAAGAGCTGCCGGGTGGGTGCGCTGAGCTGGGTGCGATTGTCAACACGGAAAGCGAAATCAGGGTCTTCGGTCCCCGGGCGCTGCGGGCAGATCCCAGCAGTGATGGAAACGCCATCCCGGCCATCCTGCATGCCCAACGTCTGCAGTACGTCCACGGGCACCGCTGTGGGATGAGAGGGGACCTTTCAGGGAGTGGGGACCCACCGGAGACACCCCAGCTACTCTCTGTGCTTCCA